ATATCAACCTATAAATTTAAGATAGGCTTATATGTGAACTTAAAAAAGTGGTGGAATGTTAAATTCCAATCTAAATGGTCTAGTTTATTAAGTAGATTTTAATTCTTCCAAATAAAAGGATCTGAAAGGCCTTTTAATAAAAAGAATTGTACACCATACACAATATTATGATTTTTTAGATAAAATATACTAGATATAGAGTTGGTGTAACTAAAGCATCTACATTAAAATCCTCTAAGATACACAAATTTTTGTACACTATAATTCCGTGCACTAAACACTAAACAACACCTGATTTTATCTTACAAGCAAGTGGCATGCATGTTCGAAAAATTCAGGCGTAGCTAGGATAAGCGTAGTGTCGTTGTAACTTGTAGGTGTTGAATCAATAGTTGACTACTGTCTGATTTTTGGAACATATTCATATCATGATGCAATTTTAGGATCAAACTGAGTCAAACTTGTTTAAGACCGATTAAATTTATATACTATTAATTAATATTAACATGTACTTATGACTTTAAATATGTATACTAGTTGTTTTGGACGGAGTGAATGAATATATACGTATATATAGGACTAAATTACTAACGATGATCATGGATCGGTGTTATGCAGAGAAACAACGTTATGACGAGCAAATGAGCATGTACATATAATCCCACGCTGCGCCTCCACGGTCACCAAGAAAACTTGATAATAAAATTACACATGGATCATCTATCAAACCATGCATGGCACCACCACCAGCTAACTTATAATATAAGCAGAAGAAGAACCAAGTCCCTTAATTTGGGTCGCCGGCCGTACGTGATGCATGTGATGGATTAGATGTCGAAGGTGTTCTTGCCGGTGAACTTGACGTCGATGGGGTTGACGTTCTTGCCGATGCTGCGGAAGTTCTGCCCGACGCCCTGCCTGCCGGCGTTGACCTTCTCCGGGTAGACGCCGTCCTTGGGGTGGAGGTACTGCACCTCGCCGTTGGGGAAGACGCGGTAGAACTGGTAGTTGATCTTGTACTTGGAGCGCAGCCTGGTGCCGAGCGCCAGGCACTGCTCCTTGCGCGCCAGCTTCAGGAGGTTGGGCCCCTCCCGCATGATGGCGGCGCCGCCCGTGGGCATCTCGAACACCTGCTCCTTCGGGGACGTCCACGTGATGACGTAGAACTCCTCCACCTGCGCCTTGCGGAGCAGCCCGCCCGTGCTGCCACCGAAGATCGGCGACGGCGTGTTGGGGTCCAGCTGCGGGGGCACGAACCCCTTGGGCGCCTCCTCGGTCACCACCTCCTCGGCGGACGCGCGGAGCGGGGCCGGCCCGCGGGAGGACGACGGCATCGCGAGCTGCGAGCTCAGCTGCCGTGGCTTCGCCCAGGCGGCGGCCAGCAGGTGGCGCGTGGCGGCGGAGGCTTGCGTGGCCATGGCCATGGGCGCTGCTTCTGTTGGAAGAAAGGATCGAGCAAGCGAATCTCGCAAGAGGAGAAGAGCGTACTGGATGGAGAGGGCGCCGCGCGAGCACGCAGCTAAGAGGACAAGAGGTGGTGGCCCGTGGCCGAGACCGCGGGTGGCGAAGTGGATAAGGGGATATGAGTCCGGCCAATGGGGAGTGCGGATTTTGATACGTGGGGAGACTGGGCATCCACACACGTCACCGCGGGCTCGTTGTCCTCCACACGACGACGCCCCCACGCCCCCACGGAGGAGAGCGTGGGACATCACAATATCATCATCGCATCATGGTGCAGCCGGTAGCCGGTAGGACTGTGCAACATGGATATAAAGTCTGGCCAAAGCTAAGGTACTGTTTGCCACACGCCCGTTTCACCAATAAAACAGTTTTTTTTTTTAAATATATGCTCTCATGGACTGTGCAGCTCGCTCTATCGATACAATCCGAAGCTATTTTCGTTGAACCATTGAACAAAATGCTTTATTACATATAGATGTTCTTAAAATGTACTCGCACAAAAGTTCACATAAGGGCACACAAAGCAAGTTGAAGCCGTGAGAAGCATCTATTTTTATTTTCATCCCACACTAATTCCTTGCACCAGCCACAACGTAGGTTTTTACCAACGCTGAAAGATGAAAGAGAATATTGAAGCATCGAGTCATGCAATTGTGTGAACCGATGCTGAAGGGAGTAGTGTTCTTGCTTCGGTGCTGAACAAATAAACAATTATTTCTCAACTGATGGATGTGTGAAGGCAAACAAGGAAATCTTGTAAAGTTCTGACAGTTTTGGACCCGCATGCACTCAAGCATGGACGTCCAAGAGCAGGTTTTGAGAAGCTTCACGTGTGCATAAAACAATTTCAAACAACTCGTGTAAAGCTATTGAAAAAAACCATGTCAAACGAGGCCTAAATCAGCAACGCTGTTCAAGCAATTAGGAGACGATAAAGCTCGGCTCCTCCATGCAATTAGGAGACGGTACAATAATATAGTAAAAAGCTGGAGTTAAACAAAACAGTGTCACATGGGGCCTTTTTGGCACGACTTATGCTAGCTTCGGCTTCATCTATTTTGTGCAAATCGAGAGACCATGTAAGCGTGAAAGTTCATTTTTGTAAGCGGGGTTAAAATGAACTAGAAGCCGGAAAAGCTGCTTTTTTCCGGCTTCGGCTTCAACCTTGCTTGAAGCCGTTTTGGATGAGCCGTGCCAAAGGGGGCTATAGATTCCAACTCCTAAGTTTTCACAACACTTATTGTTGTATTAGGGCCTGGTCGGTGAAGTTTTGGTCAGTTCTGGTTCGAGTTTTTTTTGCACTACAGTAAAGAGACATTGTCTCTATTACCTTTAAAATAAATCAGGAACTGATAAGGCCACAATTTATGCCCTGTTTGTTTCCGCTTCTCCCAGACACGCTTGGATTATAATCTAAGCGAAGATTTTCTCGCTTCTCGTTTTTCGCTTCTCGTAGTTCAAATCTCTGAAGCGGCTTACCACATAAGCGAGAATCGGTGGAAATAAGCAAAGCGTTTGGCGGGATTCTCGCTTATTTCCACCGATAAGCCGCTTATAAGCGGAAACAAACAGGGCCTTATTCTTCCTTCAACTGGTTCCTCCGTGGACTGTAGAAAGGATATGGAGCTGTTATTTAGATAGGCAACGTTTAAGTTTTCACAACCTGTCTAGATTATCATTAACATCGAACGCAAACTGAGTCTGTGTGATGTGTTTAAGGCTTGTTCGGCTGTTCACTTGCACAGTGGAATTCGGATGGGTTATGTGAGAGAGAATAAACTGAAACAAATCAGAAGTTTTCACAAATGAACACACACAGGACAACAAATTTGGCGAATTGGCGTCATTTTAGCGCTAGTGATGAACCGGATCGTCCTGGATGTACACACCTGATCAGACAAGAACGAGACAATGTGGTCTGCGTCAGTGCTGGCCCAGAGGAGGTAGTATGATTCTACTCATTTTATATGGGCTGAAGTAGGCTTGATTTGAGTGACCCGCATACCACGATGAATACTTTTGGCCCGCAAAATGTCCAATGGGCTGTGAGGCTGTCGGCCGGATGCCAAGGCCCCGAAGAGTCAAGTTTCCCTCTCCCTTTGATTAAAAAAAAAGAGAAGAAGGGAACATGCAGTAATTTTGTGGTAATCAATCTGCATGGGAAAGGCAAAGTGTCTCTGATTAAAAAAAACGTCTTGATTGAAGACCATGAAGCATATTTCATATATTTAAATAACGAGGCCTATCTACAAAAGGAGCAATGTTACGTTTTCTACACGACAATACGTAAAAGTAACGCAATGCGATATAGCCATTCCACGTTCCCCAGTCCCCCACCTAGGGCGTCAAACAGGAGACGGCGGGCAAGAAAAAAAAACACCCCTCCCAATCACGAGGCGTCCGCGCCCGATCCGACGGCCACAGACCTTCCCAGGGCAGAGCGGACCCATCCATAACAGGAGGGGTGTGTGCACGCCCCCGCCTGTCTGCCTCTTCGTCTCTCTAGCCCAGAAGAACGCCTTGGCGCAGCAGCCCAGGAAGCAACACCCAGCCGCCTAATCCCGCAACAACTCGTCCACTTCTACTCCAGAGGCTCCTCTACATCCGCCTACCGGCTTCCGAGAGGTTTGCTGGAGTGTTGGATCGGCGGTGGAGTAGCAAATCTGTAACTGTAAGCACCTCTTCTTTCTCGTCCCCATTCTTCTGGGATTTGGGAGCTCTTTTTTGTGTGTGTTCCTCCTGTTTGGATTTTGGAGGCCGTCTCGTCTCGGGGTTGGATTGAGTTCGTTGGACCTGTGAATCTGGATCCTGGTTACTAGTCGCGTTGGTGTAGCTGGAACTGGAAGGTTTGGCCCTGATTTCTCTCGCATGTAGGAACTCTTTCTCGATCTGGTTTTGGCGGATGGATTGTGCTTGAAGCTGAGCGTTAGATTTCTCCTTCTACGGCCTCGTCGACTCTCTGTCGTTGGGTTTCATGGGTGTTTTTGACCAGATGTTTAGGTCGTTGAACACCAGGGCATCATTTGGTCCACTCTTATGCGCACAATCTTGGTGCCTCTCGCCAGTTTTTGGGACTCGGGGGATTAATTTTTTTGTTCTTGCGTGCTTGATTTCTTTGTAGCAGGTCACCTTTTGAAGAGAAAGATTAGATTTTTGGTCCAAAACAGAGTGATTTTCTGCTTGCAAGTTCTACTGCATGCTCCGTTACCCCTTCTAGATGGACCGCGGAGTAGGATTCTACCCTTTGTAAGAGTCCTTGCTCAGTTTCTGTTTTTGTTTTAATCTCATCACTCCATCCTAGTTGGGGGTAAAGACCGTAAGAGGGCACTATGCGTTTGATGGAGAGGAAGGGCTTCTCTCTTTTTTCCCCTTTCCTTCTAGGCAACATAGTTTCCTAATGAATTTCGGGGCAAGATTTTGATCTGATTTGAGTGTCCAAGTTCACTAAATCCACTGAAACTTTGATCCAGAGTTGTTCTGTTGACTTCATTCACTACCTGGTGCCTAACTAGCCGTGTTCCCTTCCAGGATACAGGATGGATCAGGAGGCGAAGGACTCGAGGCCCTCAAGGTCTCCCAGCGAGCCAAACCCAAACCTCTTCCTGCAATGGGGCAGCCGGAAGAGGCTGCGATGCGTCAAGACGCGTGATGACGGCTCACCATCGCCGTCGCCATCTGAAGGTCTGAGACGTGCCATACCCCGTGCTACTCGACCCCTCCTTGGAGCTGACATTGCGACATTTCGTTCACCACGGCGCCCTAGCACTCTTAACCGCAGGTAATTTCAGCGGTGCACAGGATTTGTTTGCATTGCCCACTATAATATGAACAAGTTCCCTGAGCCCCTGATACATTATACAAAATACCTTCTGTCAGCAGGAAATCAGATTCACTGGTGAATGATTACAAGCACTCGATGGCGCTATCGCCAGAGAAGGACAGGTATTACACAACGAGGGGTTCACCATTTCCCTTCGATGGAAATGGGTTCGACTTTGGTAGCATAACAGAGGAGAAGGGAACCACTGCGTTGCCAAGATTCTTCATTGCATTGTCAAACAAGGAGAAGGAGGAGGACTTCATGGCAATGAAGGGCTGCAAGCTGCCACAGCGGCCAAAGAAGAGGCCCAAGTTGATGCAGAAGTGCTTACTTGTAATGCTCACTTCCACTAATTCAATTTATAAGTTTTCATTTCATTGTTATGATCATACTCATTCTTTCCGTCTTGTCTTCTGTTTCATTTTTTGACAACTATAGATGGTGAGCCCTGGAGCTTGGTTATCAGATTTGTCGCATGAGAGATATGAAGTCAGAGAGAAGAAGAGTTCTAAAAAGGTAGCCTGCATATAGACATTTTTGTTTTGCTTAAAAAAGTACATTTTGTACCTGTACCTCTCTATTCAACTTCAAATTGACATTGTCTTACTGCCTGTTGGCTGTTGCTGATACGAGTGAAACAACCTGCAGAGAGCTAGAGGCTTGAAGGCTTTGAACTTGGAGAGTGATTCAGAATAGAGGTCGAGGCGAATGAAGTTTTGGACTTGACTTTAGCTGCTGGCAAAAATCTATAGTTAGGTGGCAGACAAACCTCAGCATCAAATTTGGTGCTATGAGTGCTCTGATCAAGATCAATTGATGTCAACAGCAAAGAGCATGTTAGATTCCTGATCTAGCGAGGTGCAGCTCCATCTTTGTGGGTAGTGGGCACCTTTGTGAGAAACAATGAAAGTTGGATACAATAGATGGTTTCTCAGAATCATAGAGGAAGGAATGTTCAACCGTTGAGGAACATTGAAAGTTGGATGTTGGCTGAGAACCAATGAATTATGATGTTTAATTGTCGTAAACTTTTAGCTTGTAAGACTTATGGTAATCATTCAATGAAAACTGACCAAAATTTTCAAATGTGGACTAGCCTGCCGTATGGTTTGAGTTCAGGCTGAAACAGCATACCATACTTTCATCCTGCCTAAGGGCCCTGTTTCTTTCATCCTGACTAAACTGAAACAGACCTGTGGATGAAACAAACAGGGACTGAGTTCCCAGAGTTTTCTGAAGTCTCATCACAGTCAGGAGCATATGCCATCGTTACAGAGTTGATGTGTTGGTACTCTGTACCTTGAAATTACAAAGCTTTATAGGACAAGCCTTTGACCAAATATTAACCATTTCTTTATTTTTAATTAATACATGATTCTTGTAATACCAGATCGATGTTATTAGATTCGTATTGAAAATGTTTACTTACGATTATCATTTCTCATACAGATTACATTAATAGAACAATTGCGGGTTAAGTGCTTGTCTTAAACGAATGAAACAAGGCCTGTAAATTTTAATGGAGTAAGTATTTGTTAAACTCCGTTTATTCCTGTGAATTTTGTGGCTGCATTTCAGATTTGCAGTTGTCGGTTTTTTAAGATGGTGGTTTGTGAGCAGAACGACTTGTGGGCCGGTCGTGAAACCGCCGCTACAGGTGTTTGGGCCTGATGGGCCGATTCCCTCCCAAATCCCAATAGAGCTCTATTCACCCGCCCACCGCGGCACCGCCCGTTCGGCCTCCACCGCCGCCTCCTCCGGCCAGCCAGTCGCCGCCCGCACCCCCACGCTCAGTCCCGGGCGCTGCTCCGCCTCCATCCTCTTTCGGCTGCCTCCCTCGGTCCCTCCCTGGCCCCGCGCGCAACCGGATCCAAGCGAGTCCGGCCTGGACACGTCACCAGTTTTCCTCTCCGCCGTGTGATCGAGGTTAGCAAAAAGGGAAAACCGACCTGCTTCATGATGATAAGAAAATAGCAATCGCACGCACGGGTAAGGTAAAACCAAGCTGTAGCCTTTTTTATCTGTCGGCCAGTCGGTCGGTCCATCCCCGAGCCCGGTTCCTTCCTTGGCGATGGAGGAAACCCTAGCCGTCGAATCCGCCGCCGACGAGACGGCGTCCGCGCAGGCGCCTCAGCGGAAGGAAGAGACGCTCGAGGAGGTGCTCTCGAGGCACAGGTTGGTTCTCCCTTCCCCTTGCTTGCTATGGATTGGGTGATTAAGCTCGTGGCTTTCCTACTAGATTTCCGTTTAACGTACGCATCGAAATCGATTTTCCACCCCCACGGTAGATTACTTGGGGTCCTAAAAAGGTTAATTGTATTTGACACTGGTACGGTCGTGGATTTTCTCTCTTTTGAAGATAAAGACAAAATTACCGAGCTACGGAGTGTTGGCATTTGCATATCTTCTCGTCTTTGTAATTTAGTGTGGTTATTATAGCTGGGCGCCTTTTCTTCATTATACTCCAAACAGTTGCAAATTGATTTATCTAGGAAGGTTGACTTTTTTGTCGCGACCTAGATGACTAGAACCTCTCTGGGCAGTTCCAGTACATAGTTTCTATCGGTAGTTTCTTAAAGAGAGAGTGCAATTTAGACCCAACCATCCCAATTCCATAGAGAACAAATTAAATAAGCACTTGCATGCACCATAAATAGAGAGGAATCAGCTGTGGCAAAGTAACCTTGTGGCATATATGCTAGCCTCAACTTTCTTTATCAGAAGGGATTATATCAGTTGTCAACCCTGCCATGAACTAGAAAGGACATGTGACTATGTGTCCGTACTGTGGCACTCAGATACCATATCATACATGTTAAGGTTAAGTTACACTGCAACTGCAAACATACCTCAGACTCAGACTGCTGGGTGGTGACATATCATATCTCAGACTCAGATTAGAGCCGGCGACCAGGCTTGGGATGAATCTGCCTGACCAACACTTTGGGATGGATGGATTGAGTCCTATAGATGATGCCTGTAGATGGGAGAGGAAGTTAGATTGCCGCCTTTTGCTGGGGCATGCAGGATAAAAGAGCACACTTGCGGGAAAGCGGCGTCGCGGGATGGGACTCCATTGCCGGAGCGCGTGGGTGAAGAAAGAGCGTGCATGGGAAGGGGACGGGGCCGCGGGTGCGCGAGCAGAGCGGGCCGCAGGGGTCGCTGGAGCGTGCGAGGTGCGGGGATTTTGAGGCGGCGGCAGCGGGGAGGTTATGGGGCGCGGGCGCACAGGATCTGAATGATGCCACTATAAATGATGTCGCCGTCCACAACGCGATAGCGATTTTTTCTCCGGCTTAGATGCACGTGAAGACTACGTTTCTTGATGTAGAAACGGTTTCTCCTTTTTTCCTTCTATCTCTTCAATAAATCTGCTGCCACATTAGCAAACTGCTTACCTGGCAAGATAATTAATACGCATAGAAACTATGTCAGTGTTTGCATTGGGAGTGCCCTCAGGACACTAAAAAATTATGGTTACAATAAAGTTCCTCGTTATTAAAGCTATTTATTTATGTAGTGATGTATGGATTGCAAGCAAAATATATACTTGCATGCACTTTATTGTCAAGTGATTACAGACATGCACATGACACAAGTTGTACATGCTTAATGCCAATTGTTTGCCTCTTGGTTTCATATGGATAGGCTTCTCTTAGATACGTGTGCTATTCTATCTCTAGGGTCATGTACTGAAGTGCATAGCCACTGCATCAGAAAGATATCACGGTGATTTGATTGTTGGAGATTCTTAATGCCAATTGTTTACCTCTTGGTTTCGAATTTGATGGATAGACTAGATACAATGTGTATCTCTAGGTTCACTTGCTATATGTCATGTACCAAAGTGCATTGTCACTCCATGACTACAAACTGGGAGTAGAGAAGCACATCTATGCCAAACTTTGCAGTCCAATTGCTTTCATAATGAGATAGAGGATTAATGCCATGAACCCACTCTTGAACCAATCAGCCTTGTGACAATTGTAATGCACTTTTGTTATTCATTTCCTATTCAATGAAGTTTATGAAGATCACATCAATGTCATCCAGATTTTTTTTTTAAAATGCTGCATTGATCACTTTAGGTGCAGTGGTTTCGATTGTGGGATGGTCTGATGGACCTCTGTTTGATAATGTACATATTGGAAGATTAAGTATGACACAATAGTTTAGGTTTGAAAACTTCGTATAATGATCAATTCAAATGTTATGCAATATAGTAGCCGAGTCGTTGTGGGGAACAAAGGTCACACCTGAAGGTTCTGGTCAATTTCTAGAGGCACTTTTATGCCAGCTGACTGGTTAAGCACAATATATTGTGTTGTGCACCAAGTGTATGTTCATGTCAAACATTGTGACCTGCAAAGCTGTGGCTGTTTCATATTTCTCCATTTGTCTTATTGTGCAAAATCAGGTGAGTAGCTGACTTGTGTTGATGCTGGAACTTGCTGTTTTTAATTCTTACTTCCTTATAGTTCGGCTATGTTGTTGTTGTTGTTGTTGTTTTTGTTAGGGCTCCTCCTAACACATATGACAATGCAGCATCAAATCTTCTTATAGTTCACTTTAGCTTTGTCCTAAGTCAAACTTCGCTAACTTAGGACAAAATTAAAGTGAACTATAATTTGGAATGAAGTATTATCATCCTTGATGTTCTTTGCCTGCTTACTTGAGGGTTTTATAGATGGCGAGCTTCTTCTTTTCCAGTTATATATCGCAACTCACTAGTTTCCTTACAAGTTCAATGTATCTGAAACAGGAAAGAGAAATCAAAACTCCAGGATAAGGAAACAGGCCTCAAGAAAGCTGCTGCAAAAGGAAGCAAGGCTGAGCAGAAGGCAAAGAAAAAGCAGGTAGAGGAAGAGATTACACGCCTCTCAAGAGAGTTAGAGGCGAATCATGCTGCAGAGCTTGCTTCCTTTGGGTACAAACCCTCTGGCAGCTCAGATAAGGGAAACCTTGACAACTTAGTGAAGGCCATAGCTGGTGTTTCAGTTTCCAGCAATTCGGATTCCGCAAAGCCCAGCAAGGGGGCACGACGGCGAGAGAAGAAGGCGAAGGAGGAAGCTGCTCGAGAGCAGCGGATCCAAGAAGAACAAAACAATCTCGTGAGCGACCGCGTTCTAGAAAACGAGAAGCTTGAAAGGAAGATTGAGCCCTTGGGGCTGACCATTCAAGAGATAAAGCCGGACGGTCACTGCCTGTACCGTGCTGTCGAAAACCAGCTATTGCTCCATTCCAATGGCGCTGCACAGTACAGTTACCAGGACCTACGGCAAATGGCAGCCAAGTACATGAGGGAGCACGCTGCTGATTTCCTCCCGTTTTACTTAGCGGAAGGCAAGGCCGATATTGGACCAGATCCCATGGAGAGCTTCGAGAAGTACTGCGAGGAGATGGAATCCACTGCAGCTTGGGGTGGGCAGCTCGAACTTGGTGCGCTGACCCACTGCCTGAAGAGACATATCGTGGTCTACTCTGGCTCCTTCCCGGACGTGGAGATGGGCAAAGAATACAAATCTGGATCTGGAGGTAGTGGTGCCAGTGATGCAAGCATCAGGCTGTCGTTTCACAGGCATGCCTATGGTCTTGGCGAGCACTACAACTCGGTGATTCCAGCCGAATCATCTTAACAAGAGGATGTTCTGATGGTCTCTAATACGTTTTGATTGTTACGGGTGATTCCAGCCGAATCATCTTAACAAGAGGATGTTCTGTCTGAACACAATAGATGACTTTTTCTTTTCCTGGTTGCTGTAATCTTTCCCATGTGTCGATGAAGGTTGAGGTCGCGGTCTGAGCGGCGATGCGCTGCGGTGCTCCATGGGTCCTTAGGGCCGATGCGCCGGCCGATTGCCGGGGCACTGCACGTGTACCAATCAAAGCTGTATTGGGGAGTTTGTTTCCCAAACAATTTTGCTCTCATCAGTGATATGTTTTGTGGTTTGAAGTCGTGTGCTGTTACTGTTCGCAATAGCTGTTGTTTGTTGCTGCCCGCTGTTGTTTGTTGCTGCTTATCGATGAGTGTGCTGTGGAAGTGAAATGACCGAGCTATCTGCTTTCCGAAATCCGAATTAAATCCGAATTGGCTGCCAATTTCATATCCGACCATTTGAATTGCAGTTTGGCCTTCGGTGTCCTTGTGAACTTCTGATCTGTCCGTTTGAATTGCAGTTTGGTCTTTGGTGTCGTTCTGAACTTGTGACCTGTCATTGTGCTGCACAGGCTGCTAGCTATGTATGCGTTCTTGGAAGGCTGTGTCTGATCTATGTTGAGCACTTGCTCCAACTTTTATTCTCCTTTTCGTAGACAAATTTGCTCTATTTTTAGATACATTTACACACGTACAATTTGCAGGCAGTACTGTCTGATCGTGTCAACATTGAAAACACACAGCAGACACAAAAAAGACTATTGCAGTGTTATTGTCTTACCTCAACTATTATGTCATATCTCATACGTAATATACTTGGGCATATTTTATTATAATACTCTCCATCCCAAAATAAGTCTCAATCTCATATTTCGATGAGTCAAACAATCTCAACTTTGACAAAAATATATAAAAATATATTAATAGTTGTGATAACAAATACTGTAAGCATCATTAGATTAATCGCGTCATACATTCTTATAGTAAACCTATTTAGAAATACAAATGTTGATACTATTTCCTTAAACCAAAGATGGAGTCTTAGTTTGGGACTGAGGGAGCATTACATAGACCACTGATTGGACCAGTGAACCACTAATTGCTATGTTCGCTTGGCTGATAAGACATGGCTGAAAGTACTGTTGGCTGATTTGTTGTGAGAGAAAAATATTGTTTGTTGGCTGAAAAAGAACGGCTTATAAACCAAGCGAACAGGGCGAAATATTGTATATGTCCTAGATAAACTTTGGCGAGACTACATGTCTTAGATTGCTTGTATGGGATCGGAATTGTGTCATTGCCTTGTTCTACCTCTCATTTAGGGTGTCCTCCCGCACACATCTTTATCGCCTATTACACATCGAGTTATGCAAACAAAGGAGAATTGTATCAGGGACGACGAGCCCCTAGCTTTATTTTTGAATTGTTATCAAATGATGGAACCATCTTTAATCAATAAGCTCGTCGCTTACTTAAAAAAAAAGCCGATGTAAGGGTAAGTACGTTAATGTTGTATCGTAGATAGTCTTATGCAATGCCACGTAACCATGAGAAGATTAAGCATCATACAATGGGTCGTCTTTTAAGTTGTCTTATAAGAATTTAATTATCCTCGATTTTAGCAATCAACAAAGAAAAGTTTAATTTTATGAGTGTATGGCAATATTAAATCATATAATGGGTAAAATAGTTGTTTTATAGTCTTTCTGTCATGGGACTTGGACTTGGGGACGCGAGCACAGGCCGCCACCTGCGCTGCATCTGCATTGCATGACTGCATCCATCCGATCCATCTGAATTCTGAAGGGACGGACACCGGACAGCATCGTTGGGCGTTGGCTGGTGCATCCCCCGTGCCGCTGAACCTCCCCGGCTCTGCTTGACTGCTCTAGTGCCCACTGCAAATGCAGACTCCACTCCAGCCTGCTGCCTCTCTCTGAATCAGCATACAGTATGCGCGGCCATCTTGGATTCTTTCTTGGGTCTTGGTCTTCCGTATGGCGGCCAGCCCATCCATCCTATCATTATTGGCTCGATGCCAAGCCAGGATGGGGGCAGCCAGAGCCACCGAGCCAGGCACACCGTTCGCTGCCGCTTACCTGCCGGGCATGTGCTAGCTCGCCGGCCCGGCTCCACTCTGCGACTGCGTCGTCTCGAAAGATATCTGGCAAGCTGCAGTCGACGCTCGCTCCACTCTCGCATCCAGATCCACTTCGACTGCTTCCTCCTTGACTGCTCTGCTCAGTTGCTCACCACACGTCGGCTCGCTTGCGGACGATGGCGCGGCCACCACGTTAGGTACTACAGTACACGATCAGCCCGAACTACTGAATATGCTACGAACAGGTACAGTACTAGCTACCTAGTTCTATTACAATTCTGCAAAGCTGTGGACCACAGCGCATTCACATTCAGGAGCTATATTGGCTTATTGCTGTGTAAACACGATCCATGCATTGAACAGTCGATGATGCTGGTTCAGAAAGAAAAGAAAAAAGAAAAAACACACTGAATGTGAACGATGAACGATGTGAGACCTAGTCCTACTTATGTTTTGGTTGCCGGTAAACAGGGTCTTCCTTTTTCCGTTTACAGTCCTGCGGGGCAAGGTTTGGTTGGCCTGGGGAATTGTGGCACATGGTTGGACCCTGTCATGTTTTCACAACGGCACAAAATTTTCCAGCGTCTCCACAAACCCATATACCAACACGCACAGAATTGACATTTGAGCTGCCGCTGTTCTGCCCCCGCGCCAACACAAACCGTCGCCTCTCAACTTGAACGTCCCTGGCCTGTCAACCAGTATGGGTTACTTAAACTACTTGTTACTTTTTCTTTCTCCAAACCATGCACAAGAGATTACCGGGAAGAGCCAATGAAAACATCTGATTGATGTACATGTCATTGGTGCACTATACCTCCACTAAGATCTGGAGTACAGAACATTTCATAATCTCCCAGATGTGCTCTATTCAGAACAATCAACAATGCAATGGCATGACAACAATCCCCCCCCCCCCCCCCCCCCCCCCCCTTTCTTGTTCTTGTTCTTGTACTCAACCAGCACGAGTTAGGCAGTTAGCCACTCATCCATCAGTGGCACACAAAGCTGCTGGCCTAAATCTGAATTCTGCCCATTCCACCTTTCGGTGCGCTGCACTGACATCCATCAAAGGTGAAAAAAAAGTGACAGGAAAACAAGCACAGCCCATAACCACAAGGACAAGTGAATCTACCATATAGGAAAAGGAGGTAGGCCACCAGTAGGGTAGGGCACCACCACCACATGCCATGCTTCTCTTCAGAAGCCATCCTGGCACTAATCAACAAGGGGAAAAAAAGAACAAGAAGAAACTCGAGGGAGAACCTACTACAAGTGACACACCAATGACGACCCAATTCACATCACATACTACCTAGAGCTACCAGAAAACTGATGCGGACCGTGTATTCCCACTCGGATGGCTGTCACACCTTGAAAGTTACTGGCAGTTGGAGCTCCTCCCAGGGCCGCCGTAGTAGAAGTATGTGCCCCAGTCGCCGTTGTTGCCGTTCTGCACGTCATAGCAGTTGGACTGCTCCGTGAAGGTGCCCAGCCCCTTGGGGGCCTTGAGGTTGTTGGTGCTGTCCACCACCTGGATGTTCTTGAAGTAACTCGCCTTGCTGAACCCTTCCTCCGGGAAGTGCCCGCTGCCCATCTGCGTCGAGGTGTGCACGCCGTCTGGCTGCGAGTTCACCACCTCCCCTCCCCACTCAATCATCGAAGCGCTGTCCGCTAGGTATGAGAAGAGGAAGGACGGCCAGTAGCCGAGCACGTAATCCTTGCCAAATTGCATCCACCAGTTGCCCTCCTTTGGGTCCTGCACAGATGACATACATATGGAAGATATTACTATAGATATAGCAGCCACACATTGGAAAGGTGTATCACTGTATTTCTATGCAAAATCCTTTTTCTACATTTACATAGCCACATTTGAGTATCAGGGAATAATAGCAGCTGAACATACACAAAGGTGCCGTTTGGATGCTGGGTGGGTATGGGATAAAGATATTATAAGTAAGTTGGTGGGTTTGGATTAGGGATAAAAGATTCTGTTGCCATTCCCATGTCTGGATGCATATGGTTTGGGTTTGGGTTAAGTATGGAAAAATGCAAAAGAGAAGAAAGAAATGGAAAATTCACATCTCCAGAAGTATTCTGCTGCCCATCTCTTTGCTTCCACGGCGATCCTTGCTGACTCCTATGTACACTTGTTGGTAGTTAGTACTACAACTCCTGTGGTGTGACTTGCTAGGGATGTTGTGTTAGCTGTTCCTTGCGGCGGCAAGTGGCCACAGGTGCAATACATTGGACTGACAGGAGTCAGGTATGGGATATGAGCCCCTTTATCCCTATTCCAAACCCAACTCATTTCCATATCCCTTTTACCAAACAAGGGAAAAACATATCCTACCCAGCCCATTTCTCATTCCCATCTGTTATAACCCACAATCCAAATGCCACCTAAGTGGATGCATTCATGTTCTTCTAGCATGCAAATCGTGCACTCATTACCCATGCTCAATGGAAATGGAAGAACACTAGCTGGTTGAGGTGAAAAGTAGCAATGGTTGTTTCTTTTGAAAAATCAAAAGTAGAGTAATCATTAGCGACAAGAAAGAGGTTGTTGAGAAAAGGAGTATGATAACCATGGGTAAGGAGGAAACCAATTTTCAAAGCCCCAGGTACAGGTTCACCAGTCAAGGAGGAGCACGAGTAAGAGCATAACAGCAAGTGGGCTAAAGATTCTCTGCATGTCTGATAATTCAGTACGTACTAGGCATGGCATGTGGTGAGTTACTAGTTTAATTACTTAGCTCACCTTCCAGATCAGTATACTGATATCATATTGGGAGCCAAAATAGCTTGAGGTTGGGAAGATGCTTGCTCCCATGGCAATCTGGTTGTTAACCTGAATGAACCCTGAGCACAGCATGTTGTAGCACCCTGTTGCCTGGTATGCATCACTCTACACATGCCACATAGCGAAACAGTTCAGGAACTGTAAATGAAAGCGTAATCTCTCTTCAAATGTTGCAATAACGGTAAGATAGGATAGGCAGAATGTTCAAAACTTACAGTCCAGTATGTGAACAGCCTTGTGTTGTTATCCCCATAGAGGTCCGGACTAACCTGATGAAACAGAGAAGCACAGAAGTGATTCAGAGCTCGTGATGACACACTGCATCGCGGCCCGGCAGGCCAACCAACCGCGAAAACGGTGGTGCATTTACTCGATGCTGATTATGAATGTGAAGCTCATGTGCTGTGGGTCTTTTTCTCTCTCTACCTGCCATCCAGCCTCGATGCTGTTCAGATCCTCCCCGAATGAGCCCCCCAAGATCCAGAGCTGGGACAAGCTGAACTCGTTAGGCTGCTCGATCTTGGGCTCCCACACATTGATAGTCGCCTTGGCGCCGTAGTACTTGTCGCCCTGAACATACGCTATGGCATGCTGCAATTGTCAAACAGACAGTTATGAGCATCACGGTACAACGGCACACTTGTGTAGCTTCTTTCTTCCACCCCAGGTCCTCAACAACAGGGGGTGATACGAGCAGGTACCTGATGGCCACCCTCGTTGAGCATGGTGGGGCTGACGGACATTGGGTTCGCGGTGGTGTGCCGCTTCCTGCCGTACCGCCGCATTGAGCTTGCCCTGAGCAGGTCGTCCTTCTTCGTTCTCCTGATGGGGACCGTACCTTCAGGACACATCCCATTCTGATGCCAGAGCTGAACCATAGGCCTCTCCCCACTGCTGCTGGAGGTCTTGGATTCGTCGTACAGGCCTTCAGGGTGGTAGTTCGGCCTCATCTGCAAACCGTAGAATGCGTTAACTATGACATTCCAACAAGACCAATTCAGTTACTGCGAGTTTTCAGCAAGGGAGTTTACCTGGATTGTGTGGTTCTTGAGGTAAGGGTGATCAAACGCTGGCTGGTGTGAGATGTGCACGCAGTCTATCATGTCCCCGTCTGGACTCTGCAGATTTGCAATTCGCAGACAGCTGGATTAGAATTAGATGTGCGACTGGAACAGAGTTTCCCCGCCAAAGGATTTAGTTTGACAATTCTCTGAGAAATTAGTTTCCCAAGTCAAGCAAGAAAGAACTTCATACAAGAACAAGCATAAAGCGTGCACACAAAAGAGAAGATTAGCCAGAAAGAAAGCAAATTTCCCTCGAGAACAACCAGAAAAGAAGCCTCAAAAGGCGTCATCTTTTATAAAATCAGAGCACGGCCTCAACGAGTAGCCAAAAGGTAGAGACATCTATCTCCACGCTCGTGCTTGCTCAAATGCTCATGAACGCCGTTAACAAGGTGTTAATTTATCCATGGAAAAATCCCCTGTAGAAAAAACATTTTTTCCCCAGCAAGCAATTCAAATCTACCAAGAGCAACAGCAAAACAGCCGGCATGGCACACACGCACACCTCCGTGGGACGGAAAGCCTAATGGAACAAGTCGGTTGACGCACCTCGATACTCTTCACGGCCGGCTTGTTGAGCCGCTTGAGGTGGCGGTGCAGCCTCGCGGTCGGCGACCTCGCGGCGGCGGCAGCGGCGCATGACAAGCAGATCACCGCCACGAGCAGGCACGCGACCCCTCGCGCGGTGTCCATGGGCGGCGCCTCCTCCTCAGTCTTGGCACCTTCAACGCTACCGCGCCTCCTTTCCCCCTTTCCGCTCGACTCCTCCGGCGAGCTTACAGAGCAGACCTCGCCACGCCTCGCTTTACTCCCCAAAGAGCCCCCTCGCCGGCGGCCGCGCCGCTGCCACCGCACACCAGGGGCCGATTCGAGAATTTTGAAACAATGCAGGTGCCTGCGTGGTGGGATTGGGAACGGGAGTAATGGCTGGCTCGTCGCCTTGGGCGGCTCGTCGTCTCGGTTGGGAGCGGCGCGTGCGTCCACTGCCACTAGCGCTTGCTGCAGACAACACAAGTGGGCGCTCAGTGAAGACTGAAGCGAGCAGCGCCCTGCACTCTCGCGGCCACTTTTGCCGTTTCCCCAGCTTGTGCTTCTGGACGAAAATGACCCTCTATGATTCGGGAATTATTATTAGGGGCACCCGGCGTGCAACGTCAAGCCGGGGACCGATGCCCACTGATATGTGGGCCTCCAGGTTTTCTTTCGTTCGGTCGTTGAGGTCTCAATGTGATCAATGCTGCTAACGGAAATTCGTCTATAAAAAGCATCCTCGTAGAATATTGATTTGCTGTATATAATTATAACAATAATAATAAAGTGAGTTAAATCCCTTTAAAGAAACCAATGCTCCATAACAATATAGTAATAACTCGTATGAATTAGTTTTGTTAGAAATTTGGTGTAAGGGAAAAAGGAGGGGACAATTAAGGTTTGTTAGGAATATATATAACTATGGGCATTTTTTATACAATTATAATCCGATTATCTAACTTTGGCCGTGAGATTCGACGAGAAGTCACCAAACACCCTGCGGTGCGCATGATTTTCTCACCCTCCCGTGTCTCGCCTACCGCAAGATTGAAACCGATTCTGATATTACGTATCGCAGCTCCTCGGCCACGGTTCTCGTACCACACCGCGCGGTGGTGAGGAGCGTATCCCAACTGGGCCTATAGCTCACAGTGTACAATGTCTAAACGGTGACTACAAAATAAACTCCTCCAATCATATTCCTTCCCCCACTCTCTTATTTGTCTTGGTATTTATAATGTCCATTCTCGGTTTTTCCGTGCAAGATGTAGTTTTTTTTTATGAGAGTTTCTGCATCAGTGAAATGCCCTATGTGTCACCGTATTAATTGGCATAGAAACTATTCTGACCTTAGCATTAGGAGTGTCTTTATAAAACATTTACCCTAGATATAATCAATAGATCGAACTACGTGTTTATAGATTGCAAAAGGTTTCTAAAATATAAACGTACACCTTACGCCTGAGATCAGGCATTCAAAAAGTTCATTTTCTCCTGAGACATAGTTTTTTTTAATAAGCGGTGACTGTTTAAGGTAGGCGCTGACCAGCACTGCTCATGTTGATGTTGTTGGCTGGTCGTGGGTTGTAACCCTGTACAGGGTGAGTGGGTTGGTACCCAAGCCGTAAAGATTCGGTTTGGGTTGGGTTTTGACCAAAACCCGTTTAAACCGGACCAGGTACAGGGTGAGTGGGTTGGCAGGAGTACGTAGTAATTTTCTTTATCCGGGCTCGTGTCGGGTCCCAGGTTGGTCCACCCGCCAGCTTTGCCCGCCCATCCGGCAGCACCACCACCACCTCGGGCCCGGCGGCAGGCAACGTCCGTCGGCTTCCGCCCAGCTCGCCCACCCGACCCGTCACCCTGCGCGGCACGTGCGCCCCCGTCCAAAGAGAGCCGCGAGCCACGAGGCCGGTGGGCCACGCCTGGCAGCCGCTCATCAACGCGTGCCCGCGGGGCGTCATGACTCATGAGGCAGCGTGACGGAGACCACCGCCGGACCGGGCGCCCCGTTACGGAGCGCGCTGGGCGCACGCACGCGCAAAGCGGAGGGGGCTTTTGCTTAACACCGGCCGCTTTGCGAAAGGCGACGCCGTTAACAAAGTGATTATTTTTACCACGACGACCTCTGCACGCCCAGCCGGCGAAAGGCAACGGTGAACACCACCAGTCCACCGGCAGGCAGGCCGAGATTTTTACCCGCTAGATTAGTCTAGTAATTGCTACCGGCAGTACACACACTCGGTGTTAGGGTCCAGTCACCAGCCGGCAAAACACCCGTACGAACACCCCCGGGAAAACGTGCCCTCCGCCGTGTACGACGGCTCCAGACATCGGTTGGTTGTTTTCGCTTTCGGTACGGCGCCGGTACTAAAAACAGATAGATTAAGCGAACGAACAAGGTACTGGTAAAAAAGAAGCGCGCACGGTAAGTATACTGCTTACAGTAGGGCTGTGACTGTGAGGCTACTTGGCTGGGGACAGGGGTTGTACGGTTGGAGCGAACTGAGCAGAGCAAGAATTCGGTTCTTAAAAAACCATGTACCGATTGGTTCTTTAAAAATTATGAAACTGATATAGGTTCTTTCGGCTCGGTTCTGGATAGAACCGAAAAACCGAACAATAAAAAACTCCATAGGTTGCCGTGGGAGCACTAAGCAGAGGAGGGCTGCAGAGAAAAAGAACAGGAAGGACGCATGGTCAATGGCTATGATCGGTCCGCGTACGGTCAGGATTGACCGGATCTTACAGCCTTGGTTACGGTAAAATTAGTTGGATCCTCCTGTCCGGACCTCGGCCGGTGCAGTGTTCGGTAGGAAAATTTTACTGTTCAACTGAAAACACTGTTTATAATAAAACGTTGTGAGAGAAAAATATTGCTTTGGCTAAATAAAAAAAATCGAACAAGGCAGACTGTGGCTCACCCAGACTGTGGCTCAGCCGAACACAGGCTGGGACAAACCTCGATGTTTCGTCAGATCAGCAGGGCCGGATCAGTGGTCAGTGACACCGTGCAGGGGCCCAGCCTATGCCTATGGCCACTGGGACAATGGTAAAAGGGATTTCACTGGGATAAAACTCCACAGTGACTCGCTATGCATTCACGTGCCCTCAAACAGTCAAACCGATGAATTAGCACCAGCACAGGGAGTACTCCCTCGGTCTTAAAAAACCCACAAGTTCAGCTAAGTTAGACTGTTATAAATTTAACTGAAACTATAGATTATACATATCAAATTTGTGCTCATGGCCGGTATATTTATTTAGTGTCATAAATATTAATCCTCCTCATTGTAAACTTGGTTATACTTATATAGGGTGTTTTTTTTTTTGTTTTGATTCATATTGGTTTGGTTTTAGTTAAACCTATGGAGTTTTTTAGTAGCACGTAAGCAGGGAGCATACAGCATTGTCCCGGCATACATTTAACATTTGCTTCACCCACAAGCTGCGACAAACAGAGGGCATCCAACCCGACGAGAAAGCCGTCGTCGCTTTTGCTCATGCGCAAGCGCAAAACACTTGAAAGACACCTTTTTTCTCTTCTTCCTTTCTTTTTTGCTTCCTCTTTTCTTCTATAATTTCCAAACGAGAGAATGAAAAGGCAGTTGGTAAAGGCCACTGAGATGCCCTACAGTATGTAATTATAAAAATGGTCACTTCCAACTACAACAACCGAATCATGCCTTGTCCTATCTCACTCGCTCTGCCACTCACTACCACCGACGCACTAGTAGTAGAACGTACAACGTACTAGTAGCTTATGTGGCACAAAAATGGGGGTCACTATCACCACTCACTAGGCGTACAACCTCGTATGGGAACGTACAAATTCCATGGCCAATTATATTGACTAAGTAATTAGGCCACTCAGATGCGTGATTTTGGAGAAACGCGACGATTCAATATTTTTGGTCGAGATTGGATTAATTCCTGCTCTAGCTCCACCGCACACTATAGCAAGAAGTTATTTTTATTTTTTTATTAAAAATACTAGAAGCCAAAAAGATAAATTCGAAACCATCGGCCTCGATTCTTCTGCGTGTTTAGCAGAAAAGTAAATCCATTTGAAGCTATGCCAAACGGAGCCATATATGTCAGCTGGGATGGTGTCATTTGTCCTTCAAGTTAGTATAGACGCAATCAAAGACCAGGCAGATGGCAATAAACACAAGGGCTGGAGATGTCACACCACGTCAGCTAAGGTGTCTCAGCGGATATACGTGTTGTATGCAATTTGAAACACCCACTTTTCATGTAAAGTTTCATTCTAGAGTTTCATACTATAGAGAGTTGATTTTTTCATTAAAATATTGTCATATCATCAAAAATGCATATGTGACAGGTAATTAAATGTAAATAAAACTCTTATAAAACTTCACGGAGACGGCCCAATGGCGCGAACCGGAGGCGAGAGGGGATTTGATACGTGACGATTCAGACGTTATCAGTCTGCTGTCAGTTCGAGCAGTATCAGGTTCAAACCTACGCTAAAAACCAGGCAGCAATGCACAATTATAGTGTTGTATGCTGTCTGAGCTTTTTTTTTAGTTTAAGAACTCTACTGGATTTGATACGTGATTCAGACATCAGTCGTGTTCGAGCAGTTCAAACCTCACAGCTGCTGCCATTAGAGTGTTGTCTGAGCAGTTGAAAGTGTCTAATCAAGCAAGCTGTGAGCCATTAGAGTTGCCATACATGATGTATGCATGTCTAATGTCTTTGACAGTTGACACACATGGATGTTTCGTTTCCTTTCCTAATCAAGCAAGCTGCAAGCCACTTTCGAGTCGAATTTACACGGTCAACCTCACGTATTCATTCCGATCTTATCACGTCCAATAATATCTCTCTAGTCTCTCCATGCAAACATTCCAGCTGAAAGAAACAGATCACCTACCAAAGAACATGCGTGCATCGGTGCATGATCAGGTCACTCGCTCTGCTGGTCTCCTGCCCTACTAGTTTAAAAGCACACATCCGAGAGACGCGTCGCGCCGTTCGTTTTGAGCTTATTCGAAACTACTCTTCAGCTATAAAATAATATTTTTCTCTTACAATATTTTAGTATAAACTAAATTTCAATATCAGTGAATAGAGGTCATGTTCATTTCTCTTATAATCTGTCTTTTTTAGCTTATTTTTTTAATCAAAACTATGTTTTT